AGGCGAAGGGCGCACCCCGCGCTGCCCTGCCCCGCGCCCCCCGACCCGCTGGGATTGCTTGGGGGTCGCGGTTGCGGGTTGGCTTTTTTTCCTTCTCCCCCATCGTGCTGTGTGCATTGGTTTCTCTCCTCACCTGCCATGGTTAACTTTCCTGTGACTCGCTTTAACTCTTGAGATCTACGTGGATGTTGCTCAGAGCACTTTTCTTGCCTTTGCTGTCCCTTGCTGGGACCGGATTTCATACTCACTGGACTCTGTGTGCCTGTATGTGTGTTCTCAGTGTCTTGAAATTTTGCTTTCCTTTACAAGAGCTATGCATTCATTAATTAGCCAAGGTAAGACTCGCTGTTCTTGTTCCCTCATGTGCATGTCTAAATTAGATGTTTCTTTAGAGATGAAGTACGTGTTTTCTCTTAAATGGTGGAGTCAGATGTAGTCCTTCCATTGGTTAGTACTTGTGAAAAAGAAGCGTAGAACTTGCAAAAAAATAGACCTTCTTGGCAGGAGATCTGGCTTGGCTTTCTAAACTGATCTGCTTTTCTCTGTTGCAGCTTCTGTGATGCTCAAAAGAATAATTTGCGTCTTATTTTGTTTCCCCTTTTGACAGATCTGTGAATGACCATAGGCTTGGCTTGACCTTGATTGTGATGGCTTTGTTGGAAGATCTAATGATGCGATTGCATTTCATGAAGTGATTGCTCTCTGTGGCTTAGGGTATAAGCCACTTCTGCCACACTGTCACTCATGGACAACTCAGATTTTTTTTTAAGCAAACCTTTCGGCTATTTTTGTTTTCTCACTTACCCTTTCCCCCCCTGTTTCCCCTTAATGGTGGGAGCCTTATTCTACACTTTGATGTGATCAATAGTCCTGCTGCTTCGTGCCGCTGATTTCTGTTTTGAAGTACAATGGCTCTGAGTGGCAACTGCAGGACTTACCTTCCTGCTCGAGAGCAGGGGACTGGGCTGCACTCCTTCCCGGAGGTAGTGGAGCTAAACGTGGGCGGCCAGGTTTACTTCACTCGCCACTCCACCTTGGTTGGCACCCCTCACTCCCTGCTGTGGAAAATGTTCACCCCAAAGAGAGACACAGCCAACGATCTGGCCAAGGACTCCAAGGGAAGATTCTTCATCGACAGAGATGGTTTCCTTTTCCGCTATATTCTGGACTATCTCAGGGACAAGCAAGTGGTTCTGCCCGACCACTTCCCAGAGAAGGGAAGGCTCAAGAGGGAGGCTGAGTACTTCCAGCTCCCGGACTTGGTCAAACTCCTGACTCCCGATGACAGCAAGCAAAGCCCCGATGATTATTGCCACAGTGACTACGAAGAGGTCTCCCAAGGCAGTGACACGAGAATATGCCCACCCTCATCACTCTTACCGCCTGATCGGAAGTGGGGATTCATTACCATCGGGTACCGGGGGTCATGCACTATCGGCAGGGAGAGCCAAGCAGATGCCAAATTCAGGCGGGTCCCAAGGATTTTGGTTTGTGGAAGGATTGCTCTGGTCAAAGAGGTCTTTGGAGAAAGTTTGAATGAAAGCAGAGACCCAGACAGGGCTCCAGAAAGGTACACCTCCAGGTTTTATCTCAAGTTCAAGCACCTGGAGAGGGCTTTCGACATGTTGTCCGAGTGTGGATTCCACATGGTGGCCTGTAACTCCTCGGTGACGGCTTCCTTTGTCAACCAGTACACAGACGACAAGGTCTGGTCCAGCTACACTGAATACGTCTTCTACCGTAAGTACAGGACATTTCGGGGGAAAATGTAACTACCTGGTTTAAGCCGCTCTCTTCCGCTGACTGTACAATTCCCGAAGCACACGGAGTGTCTGCCGCGGACTGAGCTTTTATTTAGATCTGGGGGGGATACGCTTCAGTTTAAGCTTTCGGAAGGTACAGCAAGGCAGAACTCGAGGGCTTGGTCTTGGCTAGGTGGCAGCACAGACTGCCAAAAGCCCCCGGCCCTGTGGCTGAAGGATGCTGCTGTGTAACTCAGCCATCTGACTGCCTCGCACGCTTCCCCAGCGCGTGCGGGTTGCAATATAAGCCCCGCAAACACACTGCAGATTTAATTGCAGAAAAATCTTCAAACGGGATTCAGTTGACAAAGGTAATAGCCGCTTGATAATCGTCAAGCGCAGTCAGCCAAGCCATCTGTCAACAAACCTGACACAATTACACGCAGGGAAGGGGAAACAAAATCCCGTCCCCCTGGCTGCTTTTCACCAGGAGGCCTTCTCGGAGCCAGCCGATGTGCTCTGAAATGAGGGCTCGAGCAGGGAGAGGCAAGTCGCTGCGCCTTGTTATGCAACATGCCCGTGAAAAACAAACTGTCCTCGTAATGAGAAGTATCTGCCCCGCTTACCGCAATCACATCCCATCGCACGCTGTTGTGGTAATTCTAGCTGATAGCTCTAGCAGGCTCATTAACTTTCTAAGTTGATATTCAGGTAGAGACACCGTTACCAATGGTAACACGAGGGTAATTTCGATTCTATAATTCTGTATCAGAAAATCATTCCACAACTGCTGTGCTTAAATATTTGAGAGGTTCATGAGGCTGTTTTCCTCCATTTTCACTTCCAGAGGGTGAAGGATGGAACATTTCCCTGGTCCATTTGCAGAAATGGGCTTTAGCCAGCTGCTGCTTTGGACAGTGGCCTTTGGAGAAGGATTTGCTTTGCCGGCAGACCTGCTGCGCTGTGTGCGGCGCTTACAGGTAGCGGGCTTGGTAACGTGGAGAGCTGACGAAAGTTTTAGATGAAAGATGTGTCAGGAAGTGAATAGTTTGTGTGTAATACTGGATTCAGCGCCATCTACTCTCGTGTCTGGGCTCAACAGGCAGCCCTAATCTGCTTATGTAATGATGCTTAAGTTAGCATCCTGAAAAGCCATCTGTGTTTTTGACATGCGTAGATTTACTTAAAATTAGTTTCCTAGCTGGATTTCTTAGCAGAATGGTTCTAAGGTCATGGATCCACTTATATTTTGACGGGGATGGATGATTTCTCTTACTAGACTTCTTTTGTTTGAAATCATAGTGTCTTGTACAAATTATAGGAGGACAATTAATGTAGTTAAAGGAATGGTTTAGAATAAATTGTGTTTGCGTTTATATTTAAAATCAGAAAAAAATGTAAGTTCCTTATAGGCACAATGGTTTGCTAATTGAAGAGGGGATGAAGGTAGATTTTGCATGAATTAGCAAACACAGGCTCCTGATTTTCATATTGCTCAAATTTTCACCTTCAAGGATTGCTCATTGCTTCCACATCGCTACAGTTGGGGTTAGGTACCGAGATGAGAGGTACCTTAGATGTTTTGGAGGGTGCAAACCTATAGCAGGTGTCACAAAATCTTCTCTCACCAGTGCGGGGAAAGCCCGATCCAATTAAAGTTCCTTGAAAGACTCTTATCCAGTTCAACAGGCTTGGCGTTTGGCTCGGATCCGTTTTGTGGATTTTTGACACTGATACAGTTTCAGAGATGGATTTTTCAAGAGGTCCTTCCCTGGCTAAAAGCTAAAGCAACGACCGTGATGCCAAATCACTCTCATTTTATCTCGATCCAAATGGGTTGGTTACGCTCCGTGCATTTTGCCGCTTGCTGCGACAGAGTGGCTGTGGGCTGCGGAGGTTCCCGGCCGCGTGCTGGGGTCTGGCTGCAGTCGGCCGACCCGAGAGCAGGCAGGTATCTACAGAATTCACCCCCTTTCCAAATCTCCCGAAATCATTTCATTTGAAACTTTGAGGACCAATAAAATTGACATCTGCATTTCTAGTGGAACCTCACAACTTCTCTGCAGCTGCTTAGCCATAATTATTTAATTAGAAGCTGCCAACTGTGCCTATATAAGCATTAATTCATCAAGCTGTTGTGATCAAGTTAATGGGCCTAAACATGGGAGGTGTCTAATACAACTGGTTAGGCAGATGCAAAGGTGGTCGGTCTGTGCAGCGCCGACGAGTAGCTCCTGCTGCCTAACGGTGGAGGGACTCTTCAGAGCTGGGAAGGGTGATCACTTCCGAAGGAGGAAGAACAGAGGGAGGAACATTTTTTGATACACCAAATTTGTATCATACGTTGTATGCTCCAGATGCTACTCAGAAGGTAAATGTCTGTATTCAGCATGAAGATAAAGAACATTCTTTATGTGCAAATCCTTTCGAAAGTAGATCAGATGGACCGAAGGGGGTGTGAACTGCAGCTACTCGCATGGGTACAGTGTGTGCTGTTAACAAAATTGCACGATTGATATTGCATGACGTTTTCTCCCCTAGTTCAAATTTAGGTGCTATTAAGGCTAATGGGAGAGTCATGTTCTCTGTGGAGGAGGTTTTCCCGAAATGCAGGGCATGCAGAAAGCATCCAGCGCAGCAACCTGGCAGCTGTTTTGCTGAGTGGGTGGCAAGATGGGCTGCAGAGCCGGCACTCGGGATGACAGTGCAGTCCTCGGAGCGCAGCTGGGCTCCACTCCAGTTTCAAAGAGGCCGATGCAAAGGAGGGTTTGCAGACAGGCTGTGTGGATGCATTAGAGCCACAATTACACGGCCCTTTGAAACGCAGTTCCTGCGGGGGGGCAGGCAGGAGTCGCAGCCTGGCTCCTGCTCACAGGTGGAGCGTGAGCGGAGGAAAGGAGGGGAGGTTCTCCTCGTGCATTTTCTTTCCCTCCGGGTTCTGCCAAAGACATTTACTTAAATTTTAGACCAGCTAAGTTCGGATTTCTGACTTGAACCATTTTGTGGGTTCCCCGCCGCCCAGTTGTTTTGATCATCTTGAAGTAAAACCTCATCTCCAAACACACTTATTTTTTAAGGGGGTGACAGCCTGTGCTTGGATCTTCATTTTTAAATGTTTTCAGCATTTACAATAAGATGAATCAAAAGTGTGCACTTGAACATCTGGTAAATGTTGTGGTGGGGGTGAGGGGTGTGGAAGCATATGGGCTGGCTCAGCCTTTTCTAGCCTGGCCCCGTTCCTGACTTCGCAGCGGCAGCAGCACGCTCTTCGTCACCACCTCCCATACCCCACAAACCAGCCCTTCCTGCCTGGTTCCAAACTTGCGGCATTGCCGGGACGGTGGGTGACAGTCCTGCACGTGAAGAGGAAAATATCAGGTTGGAAACAGAGAAGGCTTTAGGTTCGGACAGCAGGTCAGCGAGGCGGCCGGCTGTGCGCTTGTGTCTGCAGAGCGCTGGGAACCGAGTGACACGGCAGTGGGGTGGGATGGGGGAAACCCTGACTCTGATATATCGCGTCAAATCCTTTGCTTTTACTCTGGTGGCTCCCGGCACCGCTGTGGGTGGCACCGGCAAGGAGCGCGGCTGGCCCCGCAGGTTGCTTTCTGCTCGTCTGGAGCAATACAGTGGGGGGAGAGGAGAGCTACCAGGCAAAAAGGAACAATTACAGAAAAAGTACAGATGGAGGAAAAGCAGAGAAAATTCACACACAATCTGGAGAGAAAGAACTAGGGAAAAGATGGGGGTACTGACCGCCACCAAGACACGGTGAGGGAGAATTTGTTAGATACGTCAACCCTTCGGTTTAACCCGAATGTTTTCCTTCAACAACCAAATGGAGGGGGGGTTGACGAATGCTCCTTTAAGTTCACCAGCAGAAAAGAATACAGAGATTTAGACAGATGACTGTCCCTGCCCTTCCCAAGGCCGTGTTTCGCAGTCTGAGCAAGCACGGGAAAATCAGGACAATCAGTCTGATTTGGTCAAGCTGTGCCTTGAGCCGGCCACTTCACTTCTGCACACATGGAGCAGCTCAAGCACCTGCAGATGTTCAAAGGAAACTGTGAGATGTTCCTGGCGCCGTAGCTCTGAAAGCCAAAAATTAATTAATGAGGCTCTTGCTCCTGAAGGACAGGTGCTGCCTGCGCTCGCTCTAGGGACAGTTGTGAGTTTTGGCCTTCTCACCTTACCCTGTCAAGAAGATGCTGGCTGGGTGTGCTTTTCACTTGGTGGTAGGAGGCTGATGTGCAGAGATGTTTGCGAAGTAGGTTTCAGGGTACCCCGGCATCAACAGACGAATCCTCTCAGGTGGGGCTGTGCGGGAGAGAAGAGAAATGCCAAGTGGTACCGGCTGTGAATGCACCCTGATGGCCGTTCTTTGGACACGTGTCTCTGGGATAATCCTGCTGTCCATTATACAAGATGATCCACTTGGGATTAGCGCAGCTGGCTGCGGCCCCTCACTTTGTATGCATGAACAGACCTAAAAGATCCCACACTGATGTACATCTCACTGACTCATGAGAGAATTGTGTGGTAGAAATTTGACTAACGAAACTGAATGCTCTTGCGCAGTGACACCTACAGCTCTGCTGTCAAACGGGTTAGATGTGGAAGAGGAATATCACCTATTTTCCTCTCTCTAAACTGATACTGTCATATGTTCTAGTAGTTGGTTCTGTCTGGTTTTAAATCAGTGAAGATCAAAATAACCCAAAAGATAACAAAATAGTCTAATCCCATGAATAATGGAAGCTTCCTTCCCTGATGACAGGAGATGTTTCTGTTTCCAGGTAGTTATTGTCATCATCAGTGAATCCGGTCCCTCTTGCCAAACAAAATTCTCTCTCACAAGGATGCTCGTCTGCAGGTGGTGGGGCTGTAATCAGCCCAATCTGCTAGCCTGTTCATGTCAGAAGGACCTTGCTCCCAGCGTTTTTGGTCAGACTTGAGTGATGGTTGATGTTTTCCTAGTTTGTCATGGCAGTCTGAAAAGCCTGTGGGCTTTGTTGGTTATTCCATAGATTAAA